CTGGCTGTCATAATCAACGTTCCAGGTGGTTCTCATTTATGAGGTTTGTTGATATGTGTGATCAGATTTCCAGGACATTTGTCATTTTAGCAGTGAAGGGTGGAAAAGGTTTGCATTTACTGATAACGGTAATGGTCAATCAGATAACCTATTTCATTAAATATTGGTTTATTTGTTATCAGTTATTCCAGCAGTTTTTTTCCATTTTCCCCTACTTTTCATTGTTGTTCTTCATTAGATAATTTTCAAATTTATTACTTCAGAATATTTGTTAAAATTCTGTTTACAAACAGCGGCAGTAGTAGTATGAGCCAAAAAAGAAAACGAAAAAAAAAAAGGAAACAAAAATTTTAAAGCGCGTGGAATATTGAAAAACAGTTTTCGGAAAAAAAAAAGAAAAAGTAGAAGGACACAAAACATGTCTCTTAGCATCAAATTATATGTATATAATTTATGAGCAAATAGGAAAAGACTTTCTTTTTTGTTTTTCTTTTCGTTTTTATTTTTTTCTTTGTAGCAGGCAAAGACATCCAACTATATGATTCCCGCATTAATGTAAATCAATTTTTCATCGATGAGAGCTGAATGTAGAGCGGAACCAAATTTAAACTTGGAAGGAATAGAAATATCTACGTGCACCGTATCGTCCTGAAAAAATAATTTTCCTCATCAGCGATAAGTGTCAAATTTAGTGTTCCATTTGTTACTCTCACGCATTGGGCTTACTGGCCGTGAGTAAATTCTTTTTAAAGAGCAATAAATGCGGGAAGAAGAGGGAAGCGGTGGAGGATGGAACCGAGGGGAGGAAAAGGATTTATTTGTTTAGTACTGTAACATAGTTATTGAGCTCTAGAGTTACTGAGCTGTGCTTAATTTGTATAAATGAATGATAACAAGAAACAAATTTATTTGGTTAATCATTTCTAACTGCTAAACAAAAATCATGTTGTAGGCGAACATTCTTCAGTTTTTATAACACTTTTAATTGGTAAATTACACATTAAATTTTTTTT